TCTGAAGAAGGGTCTAGGCCCAAAACGTCGGCCTTCCTGCTCCTCTGATGCTGCTTGGCCTGCTGTGTTCATCCAGCTCTACACCTTGTTATCTCAGATTCTCCAGCATCTGCAGTTCCTACAATCTATGAATATTTTATCTATCTTTCTTAGTGGTGGAAAATGATCGTGTGTTCATCTGGTTCCCCTGTGGTGTAGCTTTCCTTTACCTTCCCCTCCCCCATGACTGAATTATTTAGTATATCCTACAGTTAGACTCACACATAAAGAATTGCTCAGCTGGGTAAATTATCAGGTATTTGAGGTTTTAGATGACAGGATGAGTCCACACCTTTAGACAAAGAAACAGAAGAAGAAAATTGGATTTTAAAAAAGCCATCAGAGAAAATGAGTGGAGATCAGCATAATGGATATGTATATAAGGCTGCAACTTTCTGATGTCAAGTGTTTTATTGTCTTTAGAATAAATAGTTGTAGCAGAAGGAAAGATATATTTTGTTTGGTGGCTTTCAGCTAGCCCCTGTTAGAAATATAATTGAGGGATAGTACAGATTTGGTTTTAAGTTTGTGCTGTTTATAAATGATGACAGATATATTTTTATGACATGTGCTACTTATGGTCTACCACTAGAAAGTGGAAATTGAAGACTTCAAATGAAAATGTTTTCCATCTAGATTGGTGTAATGTTCTCAGTCACACTAAGCAGCAGGCAGATAACTTTTTCAATCTTGATAAGGAAAGATACGGTCACCAGTGAGGTGACTCAAATATAGAACCAGTGAAGTACATAAGAACATAAGAACTGAGAACAGGAGTAGGCCATCCGGCCCTTCGAGCCTGCTCCGCAAAGTAAAGAAAGCTTTGCGTGAATGGACTCGTTTTTCATTGTGGAATGCAAAAGTTATCTAACCCAATGGACACTATAACTGTGAGTAATGAGGCAATTATTTTGACAGTGCTCAAACTTCTCTAGTTTTGTGTATATGTTCTATAAATAATTCTGTGCCTCTGTTTGTTGAATAGCTTATTCATAATTCATTTGAAAATGATATTTATTTTGCACATTGCCATTCTACCATTTATCTAGTAGGCAATAGGAAAGGAAATTCCAAGCTATAATCCATTCACAAGATACAAATGACTTGACATACTTGGATTATAAGAGCGAAACTAGATGATTTTGATTTAAAAATAACACGTTTCTAATTAGATTAAAGGTTACAAAGCCATTTTTCTCTCCAACATTACAGTAGATTAAGTGGAACAGGCTCCCAGCAAAAGAAGTTGAGGCACAGCTAGTTAAGAACAGTAAAAAGGAGGGGGATAAAATTCTTGTCAACATGATTGGCAAGTTGTAGTACAGGGATAGCTTAAGATGATCAAATATGGTAGAATTGGTGAAATAAATCCATCTGTGTCTGTTCTTGCATCACTGAGATTACCTATTGAATTGCTTAACCATGAACCTGAGGAACAACCCAGATTCAAGCCCCTAGTCTTTGCTAAGTGAGCTAGCTTTAATCAACTAGGCAGAAGGCTGATGGCTAGCGTTGTCAAATGATTTGGATGTTTTCTTGGAATACCATGACATTTGATTGTATGACACTTGCTAATATTTTTAAATGCCATCACATCCAGCATATAAGGTTTGAATATCCTGTTGTTGAGTAATTTTTGGTCATTGTGCATTTCAAAAAAATGCTTATTGTTATTGTCAGAGGTGAGCAAAGAATTGGAAAATTAGGAAAGTTTAAGGAAAGGAACATACAAGGAATGGACCCTCTGTCCCAAATGACTGTGATGTCTTGTACTCCAAAACATACAACTCCCACCCCATCTGAATGAAATGGAAAAGCCAATAAAAGTCCAGGCCAGTTGAGAAGAAATATATGGAAAATTTCTGTTTGACTCCCCATGTGTAATTAAAGGTAGTCCAGGAGACCACTTTGGCCTTGAACAATATTATAAACATTATTAACTTTATACAAGGGATGATTGCTGCTCCAACCAGAGACTGGACAGACTCTTGCTTGAAATAACATATCAGCCAGAGGACCTTCACGAGTCCACTATTATTTCGGAAAAGAAACACATCCTAACCTCCAGTCTACTTTTGACCCTTAACTAATTTGAGATTGTGACCCCCTGGATCTTACTCGTGAGAATTTACTATTCTGAATCCTTCATGAATAGTTTCCACTGTCCAAGAAGTGATCTCTTGATGGCCCACTATCAGAGAGGACTCAGAAATGATCAATTCATTATAATCTGAGTAAAAAAAATGAAGGAACTACTCGATAACAGTCAGCCTCAGATGAAGAGTTCTGCCTAATTAATTCCATGCTCATTTCTTTTAAAATGCTATCTGACTTCCAGTCTTTTTTTAAGAGTCATAGAGTTGTACAGCATGGAAACAGACCCTTCGGTCCACTCATCCATGCCAACCAGATATCCTAAATTAATCTAGTTCCATTTGCCAGCATTCTTTATGAATATTTCCAAAATGCTTTCAGTTGAGGAGAAAGAAACCTGAAATAAAATCAAGCTAATTCAAAGAAAAATATCAACAGGATTTAGTCAAGCTATACCCATCCAACTCTTTATAAAGCATTCAAAAACACATCAAGCTATATAAAACAGTAGAACCTGTTTTCAGTGTTCACCATCCATAACAAAGAGATAGATGCATTGCTCACTTTTGAATTGTAAAATCCACTTTTTAATTCAAAACTGTATTTGCATACCTGCACATAGCACAGTTGATACTGCCTCCTTATGGTTCAGTGGAATCAATATTTCCAGGGTATTTTTTGGGTGGACTCTGAAAATTACTTTTCGTTTAATCCTGGCAGCTATACAGCAAAGAAGGTTCAATTTTTGTTGGGACCTGGCTTAATTGAAGCTGCTCAAATATTTGGGTAGCCCAGAAACCTAAGACAGAAAGCAATGATTGTTATGATCCCAGCAGATGATATAACTAGACAAGTCAGATCCCAAATATAGTAGGAACTGCAGATGCTGGAGAATCCGAGACAACAAGGTGCAGGGCTGGATGAACACAGCAGGCCAAGCAGCATCATAGGAGCAGAGAGGCTGACGTTTCGGGCCTAGACCCTTCATCAGAAAAGGGG